CCACATACAAGAGACTGTTTGAGCCAGGACAGAAGCGTATTTCCGTATTTGACATAATAAGCGCCCCGGGCGCTCTCAAAATTAGAAATAGGGGGCTCTTATTAGAATATTATTTTGGTGAACAACAATAGAGTTGAAAGATCGTAAATTCCGTGGTTTATGCTGACAGCCTGAAATGTTTATATATGACAGATATATTTTTCCAGAATTTAATTTCCCATAATTAAGGATGCATATAACACACGTATTATACAAGAATGAATAAGTCTTGTGTACAATGATCGATCAGAAGGGGTGCTAATTGGGATTGTTCACTAGCCAATATATTAGCAAATATCGCCATGGGTGCTTATTAGAGCGGGGCGCTTATTACGTTGAATACAGTATTCCACATTTGCACAGAGAATTGCATCTGACTGGATTTAATCTTGTAATGAGTGTTCGTATATCTCAAAATGACCGTCATTCCTTGATTGTATGTCTGAATAAATCAGTGTCGGATCTGACTGTTTTAAATCAGACTGTCTGAATCATGGCTTGATGAACCAGCCTATACACAGCAGACAAGGCCAGCCCTTAACAGACATGGAAGACATGCTTCTCTGTCTCCATGGAGACAGTAATATCTCCATGGTGATAGTCAAAACTGAGGGAAACATTTAAAGCAGTGTTCACGTGTTGTTTACACATTATAATGGAGTATGCATGGCAATTATATTAAAACCTTCTAGTGTATCACAGTATATCTACATAGTGTATGTCCGTATGTATAATGGATCCTTTGCCACAGATGTGGAAATACACCTCTCATTACCAGCATGTGCCCAACAGATTTGGAGAATGACTGAGTTAGGACCTTATTTTTGTTAATATGCATCCGAAGGTCCTGTTGAATGTTGAGTAACCTCTACAGCTGAGTACACTAATTGGCTTGTGGGCCATGCATAATATAATCACAAAACTCCAACAACAATTTTACTGGAATAGGTTATATACTGAAGGCATCACGATATTGGAATGGTGCATATGATACAAGTTGCTGGGTAAATGAACACTGCCTCCTAGAATGCTTGGTGGACCATGTTCATCTGGTGTATGTCATCAGGCACAGGGGAAGGGAACACAGCAATTGGCCCTCTAAGTCATGAAATTATGTGAGTGTCGACTCCTGCCCTAAATTGTGACATGACATTAATGTGTGTAGCCCCTTGTTTGAACTATAAAAACTAATCAGTAAACGATAACACGAAAGGCTGTAGACTTGGAAAGCCATGATACAGCATGGAGTGACAGCAGTTTGATTGAATAATCTCATTTGCAATCTTAACAAATATAACATCAACTGCTTGACATGTAATCTAACTTCCATGAAATCAAAATCAGGAAATTCTAAAAAACAGACATGCAAAGCAGATAGGTCGGGTCACAGATGATGACCGTTCAGGTGTTGTCACATGAGTTAGTGCAATACTGGGAATGTACGCGTAATATCATATAATGGGTAGGTTTCTCGGCTGGATAAAGCCAACGGATAAAAACTATATCTGTTGGGGTCATATGCGGATAGAGATGCAAATATCAAAGGTCAAGTAGGGACTACTTTCAGTGTTTATAAACAAACATGGCGTCATTCAGCATTCGAGTCAGAATTAACCATCAGGAATCTGGATAAATTACAGGGATAACTGCTATCATTATCAAAAGAACAGTCTAATATACTTAAAATCAGTGTCTGACTGTGACGTTGCTAAGACATTTTATAAGTTTTGGCAACTTTGGAGATATAAATTTCGAAACAATTTTGCGAGGGCATTAGGCCTAACCAAGCGGGATCAGTAGCCATATCTGTGCTTGTAGACCTCTGTGGCTTGAAACCTTTTCCACAAATTAAAATAGTTGTATTTTGCCGAAATATGGTTGAATTGTTACCTTGTTTCGTTTTGTCGCTGAGTGTACATCTGATTGCACTTCTTAATGTTATGACAGGACAGGCCGACTGTCAACAATCCCTGAACGTGGCCGTGACATCTCAAAGACAAGGGTTAGAGTAGCTTCCCTTTGACAAAGGGAAGTTACTCTAGCGGACAGACCGATGGATTGACGCGAAATGTGAGTAAAAACAATTGTTGTTTTGCGTATATGTTGCATCGCCAGTGTATAAGAAACAGATTTCAGTTGGAACTATATTTGCTACTGTCACTGTCCGAGTGACACATCACTTACCCTGTGACGGAAGAAATATTAATGCGCACATTCCAGGAAAACTTGCAATGTTTAGATAATGTTTGTGAGAGAGGGAAAGCGATTTTCAAGTACAGAATTAAAGAATGACATCATATGATAAAGAGGTTATCACGCTTGTGTGTTTGGGGATGGTAAATATCCTGCATTAGGAATAAACATTGTATTTAGCGAGCCTTGGCGTGATAACCTCTATGTATTCACCACCATGGCTGTTGCTGTACCGGACATGTTCATTATGTGGAGGGCATTATAAAGCTTGGAATTAAAAGATTATTTAAAAAGACTATCAAGAACAAAGATGCCATACACACTCGACAACTGTCATACCTGCTTTATCAACTGATGTAAACAAACTGACCACACTTGACGCAGAACTTAGTGATAGGAACTGTTTCAATCTAGCGCTCAGTTACGTTGTTTATTTTGAGCTTAGATATGTATGTCACTGTTTCCGCCCATTTGCAATGAACCTGACATGACAAAATACTCCAGTATGTCCACATAAACATGCATCACTTTATTAATGTGAGCAGTGGACACATTTTTGGCATTAACTTCATGATTACGGTACCTGTGGATAATATGATGGGAGGAGGGGAGTATGGTGAAGACCAGGGAGGAGAATCTAATCATTAACTCATTAGGGCCTGAGGTATTACAGAGTAAACCTAACACCTTAATCAGTGGAAGAAAACTGAGTGGACGTCAAAGTTAACATCAAGCTTAAAGTTCTATACAACATTTCAGTAAGTTTAACTGTAAAAGAACAAGGACATGATTTGTTGGATTGGGAGATTTTATGTGTGCTTCTCTCTTTGCAAACATCAAGTTGTGTTGAAGGAGTTGATGTCGTGTTGGGTACTACAGAAATGTACCCCAGGTACTAGCAGAAATCTCAATGCTCCCTTCACTTACAACGTATGTGCATGTCCAGCTATGAGGGGTGTTCATTAAAGATTTCCCCTGACCCACTTCCGATGGACCTAGTGGAATGAAACTTGGCATAGGTATTAGTCTTTTTCCGCGCTTCTGTCTGGGCAACATGAGAGTTGTGTACTGGAGCATTGTCTTGCAGGAGACGGACACCCTTGGTCAGCATGCCACGCCTCTTAAGCTTGATAGAGTCCCGCAATTTCCGCATCAGTGAAGCATAATAAGCTCCTGTAATTGTGGTACCCTTTGCCAAGAAATCCATCATCACTACTCCGTGCTGCTCCCAAAACACCATGAGCATGACCTTGCCTGCAGAGGGTTGGACACGTGCCTTTTTTGGGGGTGGTGACTCGACATGCTTCCATTGCATCGACTGAACTTTAGTCTCAGGATCATAGTGATGGACCCATGTTTCATCCTGTGTGATAAGTCTGTCCAAAAAGTTTGCCTGTTTTTTTTGGCACATGTCCAAAAGATCCTTTGAGCAATTGACTCGTTCCTGCTTTTGGAAAGGTGTGAGCAACCTGGGAATCCATCATGCAGACACCTTATGCATGTTCAAGTTGTCATGGATGATTTTTTCCACAGACCCTACACTGATCTTGACATCTTGTGCTAACTGGCGAACAGTTATACGTCGGTCTGCCAAAATAGCGGTCTCCACTTGATGGATAGTGTCGTCATCAATGGCTGAATAGGGGCGACCAGGAATGACAGCTGTTTCCACAGATGTCCAACCACACTTGAACTGGCGATGCCAGTGTTTAACAACATCATATGATGTGGCATCTTCCCCATAAGTTGCTTTCATTTCATCGAAAGTTTCTTTGGGTGTGCGACCTTTCAAATATTAAAACCTAATCACTGCTCGGTATTCTACTGGCTCCATTGTCACACCCTACTTGATCATAACACCTGTAAAAGTAGTAAGATTAATAATTTGGTGCTGCAAATTCAGACATAACCCATAGATACATGTATCATTCCACATGTGAAATTTCAACCAAATATGAAAACCCTAAGTGGTTCAGGGGAAATCTTTAATGAACACCCCTCGTATCTCCAGTTGGTTTCTGTCTGGTCTCTCCAACGATGTCCCTGAACTCAAAGTGCTTCCTGCACCTTTACTACACATTGCATCGAGGTCTGATCACATCTTGATGATCTTACACATCTGACGAAACCCACTAGCATGGGTATGGATCAAGGATTGTGTGATAAAACTGAATGTGGTATATAAACAACAACACTGTTGAACAGCTATGGGATATAACTCTTGTCAGCAAATTGCAGCACCTTAGACTGCAAGCTCAACACTGAGTGAGGTGAAATGGGGGTTAACGTCGCATCGAAGATTATTGCACTTATGTAGCGAGTTGCATGCACGTGTGTGTGTGTGGCTGCTTGTACTAGTCGGACAAATGCCGATTTAATAGTGTTAGCCCAATGAAATATCATGCAGAAGTTTAACATAAATACCCAACTCAGAAACAGTAGCTCCATAATCCCGAGAGCCAGGCAGGGTAACAACAAATACCATCTTGTATGTGTTTGGTATGACACGGCTGGGGATCGAACCCCCGCTTTCCGGGTGGATGCTCGACCACTAGACCACGGAGGCGGTCCCATCCAGTGAACAAACATCATGTAAATACACACACAACTGTTCCTGGACGGCATGGCTATGTAATGTCATGTCATGTCATGTCATGTCATGTACCTAACTACAGTAAACCTTCAGCTCAGGACACCAAAACTTCAAACTGAACATGTATCACTATTTCATGTTTCAGCAATTTCACTGTACACAAGCTCTGACTAACCTCCTGTAGAGCCGAGTCGATCCGCCAGATTCTCAGACTTTGGTCACGTGACCATGTGACAAGTTGCTGGTCACGGACACCTAGGAACAAAGAACATCCTCATTATTTCAGACAGATAAGATGTTCTCTTGGTTTATTCCGGCTCAAAAGTGAAAGATAAGATCTGCAAACATGGTGTTTCTTTCTGACTTACGTAACCATCCCTGTTATGTTCAGCTGTATCAGAATAAAAAACAGTTGAAGTGATATGTGTGTGTGCATGTGCATGTGCATGTGTTTGTTGGTTGTGTATTGTGTGTTCTGTGTGTCATCCCCTTAATGTTGAGCGGCAGGCAGGGTAACAACAAGTACCATCTTGTAACATCATTTGGTATGACATGGTAGCACCAAACTTCCTCTCTCTGGGCAGACATGGAGGCAGAAAGGCAAGCCTGTTATGTTTCCCCAGCCTCAATGATTGTATATTGTGTAAGTAATGAAAAGGGAATATTTCTGGTCAAATATTGTCTTGGCAGATGGAAACAGACATACTGTAAACATATATCTCAACTTTGCAACAAACTGTCGAATCACCCAGTGGATGATTCAGTGATGCACTGGTTTACAAAGATATATCAAAGATTAAATAGTTCACTGACACAACTGTGGATGGAATGAAGGAATGGAAACATGCCAGACAATCTAAATGAGTGATTGAGGTTTAATGCCGCTTTTGAACAGTATTCCAGTTATATCACGACGTGTCAGCTTTATGTTGGAGGAAAGCCTGAAGTGGTGCAGGTCTCAGACGGTTACCACTTTGATGAAATCTATGAGCATGACAGAGACATAATCGGGGCGAACATGGATCCAAACCCACAATCAGGTTTCTGATGTGCCACCTAAGGGATGCAACTCTGCACAGTGAATTGAGGTGCCTCAGACGACTCCACCCCTCCCCCTGGTTCTACATAAGCCTCTGCTTGTACAATCTTGAGCACATCAATACTGACACCCAAACAGGATCCAAATGATCGACAGAAACAGGTCTACAGACACTGTAGTTTGTGCAAAGTGTCCCATACCTTCTGTCTGTTTCCTCCAGTGGAATTCAAGCACCACATCCTTGTGTCCGACGAAGGTGTGTATGGGCTGCGTGAGGTTGCTGGTGTTCCACAGGTACAGCTTGTTCTCCCCTCTCCGTAACTGCGGCACCACCACCGTCATCAGGCCATTGCCGAACGGCTGTGCAGCACAAAGTACACGGTCATGTCATGGACACTCAAAACAACAAGTGACTGAATCACTCAAGCAATGTGTGAGTGAGTGAGTGAGTGAATCGCTAAAGCAATGTGTGAGTGAATCGCTAAAACAATGTGTGAATGAGTGAGTGAATCACTAAAGCAATGTCTGAATGAGTGAGTGAATCACTAAAGCAATGTGTGAATGAGGGAGTGAATCACTAAAGCAATGTGTGAATGAGGGAGTGAATCACTAAAGCAATGTCTGAATGAGTGAGTGAATCACTAAAGCAATGTGTGAGTGAGTGAGTGAATCACTAAAGCAATGTGTGAGTGAGTGAATCACTAAAGCAATGTGTGAGTGAGTGAGTGAATCACTAAAGCAATGTGTGAGTGAGTGAGTGAATCACTAAAGCAATGTGTGAGTGAGTGAGTGAATCACTAAAGCAATGTGTGAGTGAGTGAGTGAATCACTAAAGCAATGTGTGAATGAGGGAGTGAATTGCTAAAGCAATGTGTGAGTGAGTGAATCACTAAAGCAATGTGTAAATGAGTGAGTGAATCACTAAAGCAATGTGTGAATAAGTGAGTGAATCACTAAAGCAATGTGTGAATGAGTGAGTGAATCACCAAAGCAATGTGTGAGTGAGTGAGTGAATCACTAAAGCAATGTGTGAATGACTGAATCACTATACATTTCACAATAGCCTATGATGTCATTTGTGATATTGTATTGGCAGATACACTGGGAAAACAATGCCCTGTGACATCTAGGGTCATTAAGTATGCCTAAGCTCCTCTCAGTGATCTATCATCCCTACATGCAATGTCATTGAATAAGCCCAGCGATGTTGAGAGTTTTCAGAGATCGTCCTCAGAAGAAGTTGTGGTACTGATTTCTAAAGGTGTGCTGGTCAAGGGAGATAACTTCTCAAATGCATCATTTATTATCATTTTTCAGTTGTTGAATGGTTACAGAGTTTAGAGTTAAGCTATTATTCTAATCAAACTGTTTGGTAAGGGTCTGTTTGATGTGTGATGGCTTGTAAATACAAACAATATTTGTCAGCTAAGTCTTACCGTGAGACGTGCCCTCCACACTGGTGACCCAGTGTTGAGAGTAAATTCACTCCGGCGGTGGTTGGTGCAGTCCCAGAACTACAAACAGAAACAATGAAGACTTGAGTACCTGGACACATCATTGTTCCCATGCATGCAGAACTTTCATTAGTTCTTAAGTAGTTCCGATGTTTAACATAAAAGTTAAAAAAGAAACCTGTCACTTTGAATTTCAACTTATCAAGGTGATACTTATCAAAACTGTATCTCAAATAAACTATAGTAAACTACTTTGGACCAATAGACAAGTGTCAGTACACACCCTGACAAAGCAGTCCTGGCTGGCAGTGACCAGTTTATACTGGTTGCTAGGATTCCAGTCCAAACCGTGAATCTTCGACAGATGAGCAGCAATATACTGGATTGGTGTGTTGCCTTTCTGGAAAAGAATGAGAAGATCATTTCAACAAAATGAATATCTCATTTTGAGAAGGGTTTCAGAATTGTCTTTGCCCACAAGGAATTTGTAAACAGAAAGAAGATTCAATATTCTATCCTGAATTTGGATATTACTCGAATTTTGATTGGTCAATCAGAGGTATCAAATCACAATAATCACCCCTCTTTGAAACAGTCGATTTGACAGTCAAATCACCACAGAAGCTAATGTTCATAGAAAATTACGTCTTTGTCACTCGGTAGTCATTCTTAACCAATGATATATACAGACGAAGGTTAGAGAATGTTTAAGGGCTAGTATCCGGGTTTCCTTAATCCAGGTCGACAACCCACTCAAAACATTGGATGCATCCTCAGATCCCATAACCTGCTGTCCCCCAACCCACACCTGTACTCACCCTAGGGTCCCATATCCTGATCTCACCCTAGGGTCCCATATCCTGATGTCACCCCACCCACACCTGTACTTACCCTTGGGTCACACAACCTGATGTACACACACACACACACCTGTACTCACTCTAGGGTCCCATATCCTGATATCCCCCTCATGTACTCACCCTAGGGTCCCATATCCTGATGTCCCAACACCTGTACTCACCCGAGGGTCCCATATCCTGATGTCCCAACACCCACACCTGTACTCACCCTAAGGTCCCATATCCTGATGTCCCCATCATGTACTCACCCTAGGGTCCCATATCCTGATGTCCCAACACCTGTACTCACCCGAGGGTCCCATATCCTGATGTCCCAACACCCACACCTGTACTCACCCTAAGGTCCCATATCCTGATGTCCCCATCATGTACTCACCCTAAGGTTCCGTATCCTGATGTCCCCAAACCAACACCTGTACTCACCCTAAGGTCCCATATCCTGATGTCCCCACAACTGTTCTCACCCTAGGGTCCCATATCCTGATGTCCCCCTCGTGTACTCACCCTAGGATCCCATATCCTGATGTCCCCCTCATGTACTCACCCTAAGGTCCCATATCCTGATGTCCTTCTCGTGTACTCACCCTAGGGTCCCATATCCTGATGTCCCCCTCGTGTACTCATCCTAGGGTCCCATATCCTGATGTCCCCCTTGTGTACTCACCCTAGGGTCCTATATCCTGATGTCCCCACACCCACACCTGTACTTACCCTGGGGTCCCATATCCTGATGTCCCCCTCGTGTACTCACCCTAAGGTCCCATATCCTGATGTCCTTCTCATGTACTCACCCTAGGGTCCCATATCCTGATGTCCCCACTGCTGTACTCACCCTAAGGTCCCATATCCTGATGTCCCCCTCATGTACTCACCCCAAGGTCCCATATCCTGATGTCCCCCTCGTGTACTCACCCTAGGGTCCCATATCCTGATGTCCCCACTGCTGTACTCACCCTAGGGTCCCATATCCTGATGTCCCCATCATGTACTCACCCTAGGGTCCCATATCCTGATGTCCCCCTCGTGTACTCACCCTAGGGTCCCATATCCTGATGTCCCCACTGCTGTACTCACCCTAAGGTCCCATATCCTGATGTCCCCTCATGTACTCACCCTAGGGTCCCATATCCTGATGTCCCCTTCGTGTACTCACCCTAGGGTCCCATATCCTGATGTCCTTCTCGTGTACTCACCCTAGGGTCCCATATCCTGATGTCCCCCTCGTGTACTCGACCTAGGGTCCCATATCCTGATGTCCCCACTGCTGTACTCACCCTAGGGTCCCATATCCTGATGTCCCCACTGCTGTACTCACCCTAGGGTCCCATATCCTGATGTCCCCACTGCTGTACTCACCCTAAGGTCCCATATCCTGATGTCCCCTCATGTACTCACCCTAGGGTCCCATATCCTGATGTCCCCCTCGTGTACTCACCCTAGGGTCCCATATCCTGATGTCCCCCTCGTGTACTCACCCTAGGGTCCCATATCCTGATGTCCCCCTCGTGTGTTGTAGCAAACATGTTGTTCACCACTTTGTTCCACTTCACTTGAGATGCACCAGCTGAGGGCAGACAAAACAAACAGATACAAAGATATTTCAGATAGTGGTGGATGGAAATTCCCTCTATTTAATAACTACTATAACTATACATTTGCATAACACTCAAATCCTGTAAACTACTGTTTTGAGTCTTTGAGTCATGTCATGACAGCCTAATCAGTCAAGTCTCTACACTTCATATGCCAACTCAGAAAGATGTGTTGCAGAAAATTGTGGTCATAAAAAGAATAGAAACTAAAAAAAAAGTTTCTCTCACCAACACTTTGAAAAGTGGCAGCTGGCTTCTTTGGATCCCTGAAAAACAGAAACACATCACTTTCAACAAGTATTCTTTGAGCATTTGCTGGTCCTAATATTGATCATGGTTTACACACAATTAAATTCAAAACTTCACATGTTTTGAACAAATCAGATCTATGGCCATACACAGTATTCTGAAATGCTCCATCACAAAAGCAAACAGAAGGTACAGTAAGCGAGAGATGCTATAATGCTTGACTGCAACAGTCCCTGATATTCCCGCTGTATCCGCTGTCCGTTAACAATCAAGCATGGGCCAGGGTTACACAATGCGTGAGCAGCATCAGGGTCAATGACGTCAGTTTGTTTACCTGATGTCCCACAGATAGGTGTATGTGTCCACGGAACAGGACGTCAGCTGATTCACATCAAATGGAGACCAGTCTACATCACTGCAAACAAACACATCCACTAACTCAACATGGTCAGCAATAACATAGATAGACCGCCTTTTGGCAAAACAATTCTTTTCTCCTAGAGTGGAAGTGGTTACGTTTTTAGTATTGACCATACGAAATATGTTGACGTGTAAGAGCTTCCAGACTGGTCATAATTTTCAAACAATACTCTGACCTTGTACTATGTGATTGTGGATGAAACAGGTACATTTCTTTGCTGAAGTATTTAAGTATTTGTCTCGAAGGACTCACAAGTAACTTCAGTAAATCTATGCATCAGTAAATTGCTGAGTCACACCATTGTTTTCTTCTGCAGTGTTATTCATAAAAACCTCCCAAACGATTATCCCATAGGTGAAACTCACGAGTTTAGGTAAGGAGCTAATAGGGCCATAAAAACCAATGGGAGTTTGGGAAGACAAGACTGCATCCTTCTCAAAACTGGATTCCTTTTTCAAAATACGCTTTCAGTGAAATGAAGTAGGTGCATTTGGAGGAAAGTGATTTGGCTATCAAGAAGCATAATAGGTTCATGACTTGTAGTCAATTGGCTGTGTAAAATTCCATAGCGGGACATATAACTGGTAGTACACACTGACTGACTGACTGACTGACTGACTGACTGACTGACTGACTGACTGACTGACTGACTGACTGACTGACTGACTGACTGACTGACTGACTGACTGACTGACTGACTGACTGACTGACTGATGCCATGGCAGCAGTACCTGACTGTCCTGGTGTGGGCCTTCAGGGAGCATCTGTGTTCTGTGTTGCCTCCACTAAGCTGCAGCACCTCCAGGCGCTGGTTGCTCTGAAACATGCACTCAAACATCACCTTTCCACATCTGCTTTACTTTTGGTGCCATGTAAGTCATAAATTTGGACAAATCAAATTATGCCTCCAAAACAACCATTTGACATGTATCATTACAATCGACATACATTATGCATATACGTGGTACGTGGTCCTGTGCACAGCACACGTGTGACAAATCAGGTGAAGTTAAGCAACATCGGTCACGGAGAGTCCTTGAATGGGTGACCACATTTTGGCAGCTTGGCTCCTTCGGTCCTGCCCCACACTAAAGAACTGATCCATTGACCAGGCAATAATAAAGCTTTGAGCATTCCCCTGCATGGTGTGGAAATATGTGCATCATAAATGGCCCATTATTATTATCATTATTATTATGCACACATGCAAGTATTGAACAAAGCAGTATAAGATTCAAGGACAAACCTTACATTTCCATGTGTAGTTGTGTATGAGAAATCAGTGAACAAGTTTTCATGACACGTCTGGGACCAGTTACAAACACTAAGACCCTATCACTTACAGCAGTTACAAACACTAAGACCCTATCACTTACAGCAGTTACAAACACCAAGACCCTATCACTTACAGAAGTTACAAACACCAAGACACTATCACTTACAGCAGTTACAAACACTAAGACCCGATCATTTACAGCAGTTACAAACACCAAGACCCTATCACTTACAGCAGTTACAAACACTAAGACCCTATAACTTACAGCAGTTACAAACACCAAGACCCTATCACTTACAGCAGTGACAAACACTAAGACCCTATCACTTACAGCAGTGACAAACACTATGACCCTATCACTTACAGCAGTGACAAACACTAGGACCCTATCACTTACAGCAGTTACAAACACTAAGAACCTATCACTTACAGCAGTTACAAACACTAAAAATTTAACCTATCACTTACAGCAGTGACAAACACCAAGACCCTATCACTTACAGCAGTTACAAACACCAAGACCCTATCACTTACAGCAGTTACAAACACTAAGAACCTATCACTTACAGCAGTTACAAACATGTTGGCCTTGCAGGCATGGGGGTTGAACTGGATGCAGTTGATGTCCCACTTGGCCTGCGCCGCTTGCCTGGCTATCCGCACGACTTCCTGTTTAGGTGTGTACAGGTTCACCAGGGCCAGGGCTCGTCTCCTGGTGGGGCACAAACACAGCTCATTATGAAACCTACTTCACACACAGTTTGTACAATGGAAGGTCAACACACAATCTGAATGACCTTGATATCAATCACATGCCTCACATTGTTTCTCCACACTAGCAAGAAATGTTTTTGTGAAGCTGTTATTGCTTGTTCCAACAAGAGTGAGTGAGTGGTCAAATAAATGAGTCAGTGAGTGAGTCAATGATACTAGTAACCAGCATTCATGCAAACCTCAGGGTGATTTCCTAAGCAACAGCAAATTGTGCAGCAGCCAGAGTCAGGTCCCCCAAGTCCCTCCTACTTCTCAGTGTTGCCCATTTCAATTACAGAGTTTAACAAATCAGGGTCAGTTCTACCCAAGAATCCTGCACTACAAGCTACTACTTCCACATTTCATCATATTCTTTTCGCGAGTAAATTAGCAAACACGTGGCAAGGCTTTAACAGTGACCCGCCAAACGGTTCCATACATAATTATTTTTCTTTCTGTATATCAAAGTGCTACGCTTATGGTTATTATTAATAACTTATATTATTAATTTCTAAAGCTGCAACAAAACTAACCCAATATTGGAATATACCATTGCTGGAAAAATAATAGTTTCACATACAATTTCTTCCGACCATTGCATAAAAATACCTTCAAGTTATGTGATTAGTCTTTTTTAACAGAGTCACTGGCAGATTCGGGAGACAATGTGTGTACATAGCTATTTCCGCCTTAGTTTACAAAACAAATACACACAGTAACCTTAAAACAATGCCAAGCAGAACAGGAAATATAATTGAAATGGCAAATCATGAGGCCTAGTGATGTTTTATTGCAATTTTCACATTTTCATTGACCAAGTTTGTTATCAATCTTGTGTTTGTTCCCCTGAAGCAATACAATATATTTTTTGACTAATACTTTTTTTTCGAAATATAAGTGTAATTGTCAGCCTGAGGGGAAGTGAAGGGAACATCTCTCTTGCATTCAAGCTTGTGTAAGATTGTTTACTAGAATAAGGAAGTCCTCAGAAAAGAGCATCTGCACATGTGTCGTGCATCTTGACGGCTGCCAGAGAAAAGCAGCAGGGTGTCCCAATGCATCAATTCCACTCGTTGGCGCAGCAGTGATCATTAATGATAACATACTGCGGAGGCCTGTCCCTGGGTATATGGTCTCTGTGCTAAGCTTAGGCAAGTCATGTTTCTTTAAGTCTCAAACTATTACAACGCCAATGCATAACAACATGCAGTCCATATCCTGAACATACATTATCACATTGCACAGAACATAGACCACTACAAGTGTGCGTCAATGCATTTATTGTAAAACCTTGTTTCTGTGTACAAAATGTCCCAGCCTAGACACGACACTCTCCTAACAGGAAGAAGATGACTGAGCTAAGCTGTCTCAACTTGTATCCCACCCTATTCATGCCAGCAATGGTAAACATGTTTCAATCTAACTGACGTCTGCTGTGAACATGCTTCTGTGATTTCAAAGAAACAACAACGAGAATAACAGAGCTGGCATGAAACAATGGAAATATACCGGTACCATGTTTACTGTTGTTTCAATTTAGGGCTTCTGAATTCCATCAACAAGCTGTCAGTGTTTCCAATCCTAAACTCAACATTTTTTTAATCTTATTTTCTGGTTTCGATTCAACATTACAAACTTGATCACACAGTTGGTATTTTTCCTAACAGTAAACGGAACAAGCGTTTACATAAATGTGCAAAAGCAGAACCAGTCCCTTCAGCCCAGTCCCTTCAGTGCCTCAGAAGTCATTACATACAAACCTCACTTCTTCAAATTTGACTGCATTGTTTCAGGTTAGGGTGAGCTAATGTACACAACCTCAATAAACCTCAAACTAAATGTAACTTGCCCCCTATTCAAGAAATCTAAATTAATGTATGGTTGGATGACACACCTTCTGACCTGAGATTACGAGGGGTGTTCATTAAAGATTTTCCCTAAACCACTTAGGGTTATCATATTTGGTTGAAATTTCACATGTGTAATGATACATGTATCTATGGGTTATGTCTGAATTTGCAGCACCGAACTAATAATCTTACCACTTTTACAGGTGTTATGATCGAGTAGGGTGTGACAATGGAACCAGTAGAATACCGAGCAGTGATTAGGTTTTTATATTTGAAAGGTCGCACACCAAAAGAAACTTTCGATGAAATGAAAGCAACTTATGGGGAAGATGCCCCATCATATGATGTTGTTAAACACTGGCATCGCCAGTTCAAGTGTGGTCGGACATCTGTGGAAACTGCTGCCATTCCTGGTCGCCCCCATTCAGCCATTGATGAGGACACTATCCATCAAGTGGAGACCGCCATTTTGGCAGACCGATGTATAACTGTTCGCCAGTTAGCACGAGATGTCAAGATCAGTGTAGGGTCTGTGGAAAAAATCATCCATGACAATTTGAACATGCATAAGGTGTCTGCACGATGGATTCCCAGGTTGCTCACACCTTTCCAAAAGCAGGAACGAGTCAATTACTCAAAGGATCTTTTGGACATGTGCCAAAAAAAACAGGCAAACTTTTTGGACAGACTTATCACACAGGGTGAAACATGGGTCCATCACTATGATCCTGAGACTATAATAAGTTCAGTCGATGCAAATGGAAGCATGTGGAGTTACCACCCCCAAAGAAGGCACTTGTCCAACCCTCTGCAGGCAAGGACATGCTCACGGTGTTTTGGGACCAGCACGGAGTAGTGATGATGGATTTCTTGGCAAAGGGTACCACAATTACAGGAGCTTATTATGCTTCACTGATGCGGAAATTGCGGGACACTATCAAGCTTAAGAGGCGTGGCATGCTGACCAAGGGTGTCCGTCTCCTGCAAGACAATGCTCCAGTACACAACTCTCATGTTGCCCAGACAGAAGCGCGGTCCTGTGGCTATGAAATCCTTCCACATCCTCCTTACTCTCCTGACCTTGCACCATCTGACTTCCACCTCTTTCCAACCATGAAGTCATTTTTGAAGGGAAAAAGTTTCACAGATGATGAAACACTGATTTCTGAAGTCAAGTCCTGGTTTGCGATGCAAAATGAGGGCTTTTACAAGCGAGGTCTCCATAGTTGCATAAAACGATCGGAGAAGTGTGTAGCTCTTGGTGGTTCCTATGTGGAGAAAGACTAATACCTATGCCAAGTTTCATTCCACTAGGTCCATTGGAAGTGGGTCAGGGGAAATCTTTAATGAACACCCCTCGTATATTCCCATTGTATCCCCATTGCATCATCAGTACATACCTGTAGGTTCTATGTTTCTAGTTTATAAGGATGTTAAATGCACTTCCGGGCTGGGACAACACTTGCTTTCCATGGTTACTGCACTACCGCTAGCATTTCTTGAAAGTCCTATGCACTTCAAAAAGCGACCGCCTCAGATAAGTTTGGCATCTCCAAATCCATTTCATATTGACAGTACAGCTGCCATGCACTTTCTAACAACAATCTATTACGTTACACCTTTAAATATATTTGCCAGCCACTTTATGTGGTCAGCTGGGGTACGTTTCAGCATTAAGATTTTGGTTTTTTTTCTGTAGCATCCTATACAATACATTGCTGGGATATCATCGGAGTTCAAAGATTAGTAGCACAAGCAATATATAAACAATGTTAAATGCATTTCTTAACATGCTGCAGTCAATGGTTAGTATAGGTCAAAACAAAACACAACTGCTAGCAGTTGTTTCAACAGTGCAGTATTTACCTGTAAGGGTTTAGTTCTGGTATCAACAGGTAATTCACAATCCCCAGGGGAGGTAACTGCAGCTACATTGTGAAGCAAGGAAGAGGCCAGCAGAAGGCTGTGTATATTTGCTACAGGGTGTACAAGCCAGGCACCCACAAGCATGGAAATCCAGGAACAGGTGTTACCAATATCATTGTCAGCTCAACTTTGATACATAAAGATCTTCTTCAACATTTACAAATACAAAGTGTATGGGATACAGACCATACAGTAATGACACATACCAGACAGTGCATTATGGCAAAACATGAAAATGCTGGTATACAAGAGGTTGTTTACTAACAGTAAATACATCCACCATAAGCATAATGAGTTTATCTCATGAGGTGAGGAGGGCAAATGTTTCCATCTCTGCTGTGACATAATACATACATCCACACGGTCCATACAGTTCTCTGCAATCTATATACTTGATGATTTCACATAACTGTACCTGTGGAAATTCTGGGTTACAATAGGTCCCAGCGACCTATGCTGGACGTAAGGACAAGTATATTGGTAGGGTGGTCAGGCTTGGTGACTTGGCTGATTGTGAGTCATCGTACCCAGACGACATTGATCGTTGCTCACAATTTCAATCACTGGATTGTCTGGTCCAGCATGGGTTTAGGGCCACCTTTGCACCACTGCACTCAAACAGCAGCATCAAGCATGGGCTTAGATTGTACCAACGTGGGGAATCAAACTCAGGATGTCAATGTGACTAGCAAACATACCATTGTCCTTGTGCAACATAACACTGCTGAAAGACTATCCTTGTGTGGGTGTATCACTCTGCATCATGGATACTTTGTCAGCCTAGCATTTCAATAACAGTAAATCGCATGACAAATGCCAATGAAAATTGCATAGAAAAGTAAGAAATATGAAATGGCTTCACTCGAGAACCAAGTGTGCGACCGTGATGACAGATTGCTGGTTCACCTCTTCATGAACGAATGATACAACCTTAATGTAACAGAAGTATCAGATCATCAAAATGACTGAATGAGTACAACACAGTTGTTGCTAATCAATACTGTTTTATTTCTGGATAGTTGAGAGCTACACAAACTAACAGACACACTGACCATGCTACTGCTGACCACTGCAGTCTGGCTTCTATGCACAACTACTGACCATGTTGCCTGTCCATCCTGGTGGCGAGGTGCACAACATCATTCACACAAACATTAGCTTCTGGACATTACATAGCACCAGT